TCTCGGATCGCTAGGAGGCCGATTAGGCCTATGGGAATCTCCAAACGGAGATCGTCTCCTAACGGGAGGACCAGGAGCACCAGGTTTCTGGGCTCTGTCCCTGGACTGAGATCGTTCGTAAAAGTCTTTGTGCATATTGACCTGATTCTTACGAACCCTCCAACGGTCAATTTCGTTCTTGCAACGAGCACGAAGCCATTCATAGCTACAAACATCAGGGTTGGATATGTTCCTATCCCATTCCCTGATATCATGAGCCAAACAGTTGAGGTGTCTAACCTTCTCACTGAATAGCGACCGCTTTACCTGTTCGGTCAGCGGTTCATCGAGACCCGCAAGGATGTGATCCCACTTCGCGATGAACCTTTCAAGTCGCTCCTCTTCAGTATAGAAAGATGACACACTGCATCGCAAGTTTGAGAGCTCAATTATCCTGAACGATTGCTCTCCGATATTTGCAGTCCTTAAGTGGTCGTATAAGAGCCACAGGATCTGCCTACTCTTGATGCGATTGTTGGAGCGTTGAGCGGCTTCGGTGAGACGATTAATCTTATCGATGATCGCAACAGTCTTGATGCACTTCCGAATGGCTGCATTGAACCTGGCTTCGAGGATGTGGTATTTACATTCCCCATCCAGTTCATCAAAGGTCTTTGCCTTCTCGACTTCAGTTAGCCAATTGATGACGTAAAGTCCATCATAGCTGTAGGCATTGCTAACAGCTTCCTTCATATTGGCTATCCATACCCTCAGCCCAGCCGCGTCGGGCTCTGGCGGGAGGTCTATGGGAATGCACTTAGTCGCAGCTGTACAGTTCGGATCATGGTGGCTACTATACCCGCCGCCGCCAGCCCCGAAAAGATGCTGTGGAACCTGAGAACTACCGATTGACAATGCACATACAGGACAAAGGCGAGTAGCCTTCGGAATGCAAATCTCACATGCCCTTTTCATGCATATTTTGCACTCCTCAATTTTGCTGGGATCAGGAATATCCCGATCACACATCCGACATTTCTTGTCAGGAGGATCGGGGCCACGCATGGTCGGCGGCTCAAGGCCCGAAGGATCCTTCGGCCTCGTACCGTTGGGATCAAATCCTGGATAATACCCGGTTTCACGTTTATCCAGGGGCACGGATTGCGTAGCCTTCGGAGGACTCTGAAGGTTAGCCGCGTTGGGTTGACCTCCATTTGGGGTATCACGGAATCTGTCAACGGGTGGCCGCAGAGGCGGCGAGAACGACCGCGTCGGGTTCGTCTCAGGTACGCCTCCAGGCGATCTATTCCTGACACGGTTACCATCGGGATCCCTTCTTCTCCTAGTCTCGTCCCTAAGGCACGCAAGACAACAGGGACCCTGGACAAATCCAAATCTCCTGTAGTCATCCTGCCCAGCAGAATGTCTGGTGCAGTAGTAGGTCTTACAAAACTGACACTCAATTCCCTTAGTCAGGAACGAGCTCTCCCTACAGACACCGCATCGGGGTCCGTTACGGGAACACTCTTCACACAGGTTCTCTTTAAACGAGAAACAATACTCACAAATATCACCTTTGCATCCCTTGCAGTGAAACTCAGCCACGAGATGATTATACCCATCACCTACATATTTACATCTGGGTTTACCAGGGTTGCCAGGGTTCCCACCGGCAGCACTCTTCTTCCCCCCTCCTCCTGGGCTTTGCCAATCTGGAGGAGGAGGTGGTGGAGGATCACCATCAGGAGGGCCAGGCGGAGGTGGCCGCTTATCCGGAGTACGGGACGCGGCTCGCCTTCCTCCTGTGTGATCGTTCAATCCACTACTTGAGGCCTGGTTCGAGTGCCTTGACTCGAGGGAATTAATTCTCTGGGCCGTATTACCCAGCACCTCGAGCATTTGCTCGAGCTTACTGTTGAGCGTAGTCGAAACGGCCATGTTGTGAGTATTCTGCTTGTCCGTGTAGGACTTGCAGTCCCTTGACTTCATCTCAAGGTTGGCTTGTGTCTCATAAAGTTGGTCTTTGACCCACTTTATGCCGTCCCTATTATTGGTCCAGCATTGTTCGACATCTTGCATCATCCTATCAATCTGACATACCCTAGTGGACAGGTCCTCGATTTTGAGGTTTACTCCACCAATCGCAGGATGGTTGGATTGGCTCTCCACTAGAGATCTCTCGATCATATCAACACGAGCTATAAGCCCGGTTACTCGATCAGAAAGAGATTCAAAAACAGTTTGAACTTGGGTGATGGAGCGAGCAACATCATCATAGCTGGCTCGCTCATTTAGGGCATCGCCTATGCTTATCATGCGATTGGAAACGATCTTGACGCGTTGGCCAAGCTCGGTCACGATGTCCTTAGTCCCTTGCGACAGCTGCATGGCCGCGTTCGCAGCCTGCGTACACGTGCTATTCACATGGACGCATTGGTCGCATTTGGCCCTCCACGAGTTAACCTCAGTGGAGAGCTGTTTGATGCATTGATCACTTCTATCATTCCTACGACCAAGGTCTTCGACCTTAGCAACCAGGCGATGAATAATCGCACTTACCGAAGAGTCCACTCTCCCTCTTTCAAGGGCTGTTACAAGATCAGCAACCTCGTTGGGTTGCTCCTCACTCGTAGGACCAAATCCTGATCCGCGATCTCGAGGAGTGGACAAATCAACCATGATTGGATTAGATCTCGGAGGAGTTCTGAAATCATCCTGCACGGCCGTTGATGGCCGTGGAAACTCACTCCGATTAGGAGATTGACTCTGATACGGAGCAGATCTCCTAGCATCACGAACCGCAGAGTGTTGTGTCATGCCCAGGCCTTTGGCCACGGGCAGTTTAGGAACAACAGGCCTGTCCATTCGCATAGGAACATCAGGTCTCGAGTCAGCAATAACAATGTCATTCAAGTCGGTCGCATTGGACACTCTAGATTCAGACATCGACTCAATATCAGTCGCATTACTGATAGTATGATTGCGACTGGAACTTGATGCCATCATGGACTCAGATTCTATCGGAACATTAGTTCCGTCCATGTCGTCCAGAGCGAAAATGGAAGCCGCATTGGGCGTAGGGCGAACACCTTGGGCATTCAAGCCACTTGACCTATTAAATTCCTCCTGGAATGCTTCGATCCCATCAAGCACGTTAACGAGTGTGTCCGCGTTTAACGGGTCTCTACCAACGATCGACGCTGGATCACCTGATCGACCGCGTCCTGAGTCCCGCGCACTGGGGTTACCCCTGTGGGCAGTTTCCCGATCCATCCCCCTTGCCCTATGCGATCCAGTCGAATTTGACCTTGATCGTTTGCTTGGGGTTGGACTGGGATGCAAATCCAATCTATCTACGATATTACGCTCCCTAGGGCTCTCAAATCCTGAAAGTCCTGGGGGAGGGGACATGTTCCTCATGGTCGGGTTCACCGACGGCCTTGGCCTGACGTTACGACTGGCCACGTCAGGATTGAGATTCTCAATCGACAAAGGTAGCATGAATTCATCGCTTCCAGCAGCCCGTTTTGGGCTTTGGAATTGCGGGAAGGATGACGGGGCGGGTGGCCCTGGCATCCATGCGGCAAAATCCATACCAAAAATGTTTCCGTCGTTGGGCCATGAGGCTCTCCAATCGAGCCCACCGGACTCGGTCGGCAGATGAACATCAAATGCAACTCCACTCGATGTACCAGGTTCGGGATTACCGAGCACTTGAAAAGCTATGCCACTGGTTGGCACAGGTCTACTGCTACCTCGAGAATCACGAAACTCGGACTGACCAATATTCATCAGCTCCGGGAAAGATGAGGATTGAGCTCCAGGTGCTGAGACGGAATCATCATGGTCAGGACGATTAGCCCCATGACTGTGAGAGCGATTAGCTCTTGAGGCATTAGACGATAGGTCATCAGTGCGAGTAGCACTGGACCTTCCTGAAGGCATTGCTTCTGAAAAAGTATGGTCCGACAGAAGGTCAGGACCGGAAAACATCGGCTGTCCGGGCACCTGGTCGTCATTCACAACGTCCAAGATTCCGGCCTGGCCGAGAACCCATTCATCAGTCACCACATGAGGTCCATCCTCAGTGATTCCTGCCATCGTATATACAGTAACCTACAGCGCCTGCAGGGTTGTTAAAAAGGGGTTCGCGGTGCCAACCGAGGACGAATCCTACGGCTGATAACCTGCGAAAGGGTTTGAAACAGAGTTTCGGGAGAGAATAAACAGGCCCAATCCCACCAACAAGAAGAGATTGTTTAAGTCCCCCAGTCCCAAGGGCAAAGCGGTGCCCTCGGCTGGCCAAACACGAACCAAAACAGGGTGCCAGTTGTAACAAGATAAAGAAACCCAGCAAGGGCAGAGACAACCGAAAGCAAGCACAAAGCAGCAAACCAAGCAGGCAAACAATGCAGCGAAGCAAGCAAAGCAAACCAGTGCACACCAACCCCAACCAGACCCCCGACCAACCTCCACCGGGAACACCACCACAGGCGCTCGGCAGCGGCACTCTTTGCCGGAGACGAGCACGATGTGCCGCGGTGCGCGGTGACGAAATTGCAAGGGCAAGTTGCCGGATTGAAAAGCTTGAGCCAAACGGCGCATTGGCCGTGGCGTGGAAACATGTTATGATAAAACTACATGCCCCCAAAAACACCCTTGTATCCCATGAATTATACATACATGTTGGCTCATTCACGGAATTTCAAGCGAAAACTGTTGCCATCCATTAAGTTGCAGGGTAATCCGCGTTTGATATGTCTGCATGTTTGTCGGAGAAACGCAACACAAACCCTGCTGCTACCAACAAACGGACCCCCGAACACGTCTTCCCCTATTCCCCATGCAACCCCAAACCTCTGCTCCGAACAAAACTATGTTTGTTCTCTGCTTCTTTTGCTAAAAAAGCACACGAAAAAAAAGGAAAGAAAAGACCTGCAACACAGCCACAGCCACCTGTCCTTTTGGGAGGCTACCCCAAAACCCCAAAAGCGCCACGTGGGCTTCGCCCAAGAGGCCGCCTTCGGCCCCAGATGCGCCATGGCCACCAGAGCCGAGTACACCAGCCGCGGCGACGAGAGCCTCACTTCGCTTCGCTCGCTCGGTGCTCGCGGCGACGGACTCTCAAAACCCCACCCCCGCCCCTTTCCCCCGCCCCCGCCCAAAAAAAAAAAGCGGGGGAGAAAACCGAGCCTCAAACAAAAAGAACCACGATGACAAGGCTCTGCTCGAGGGTCCACAAAGGCGGGGGGGCCCAGCCCCAAAAAAGCCACCAACCCCAAAAAAAAAATGGCGAAAGAACCGAGCCTTCAAAAAGAAAGAACACCAGCCATGAAAAGTCTCAGCTGCTGAAGGGTCCAGTTGCAAGCGGCCCATTGGCTCCAATTGCGACCTCCAAGAGCCATGCCAGCCACTTCCCACCCCCCAGCCCCGCAGCCCCGCAGCCCCGGTCGCCGAGGGGCATCTCCGCTAGCCGCTTTTCCCGCGCCTCTTCTGGGAAGCAGCTCTCCTCAGAGGCCCGCAGAAGGCCGGCCCCCAGATGTCGACTTGCAATCGCTCGGGAGAAAAAAACGAGCGGTGCTCGCCATGGAACCGGAAACCCTTCCGCACATGAAGCTTGCAACACGGGTCTAGAAACCAACACGGAATAAACCTCCCTAAACAGGTGCAAGAAAACGACAAACGCCCCTCGCCACTCCCCAAGATCGACCCCCCCAAAAAAAAAAAGAAGAAAGATAACAAGTCCAAGACCTGCCTCCGGAGCCGCACATCGCCTCCTATCCGCCGAGGCGCCGCCTCCCGGGTCATGGCAGCCAGCTGCGCCAATGCCTCCACCGCGGCGCCCTGGACCTCCGGCACCTCGAGCTGAGTTGGGTTTTGGGTTTTGGCCAACCAGAAACTGCCCCAAACCTCCGAAGCCAGCGGAAAAAACATACGCGCAAAAAAGAAAAAGAGCCATCTCAGGCCAGAACAAGCCATGTGGCCTCCAAGGAATAAGGCCAAGCTCGGAATATGTGTCAGGGGAGCATGGGGCAATGCACAGGGGTCCTTACATTATACACCTGAACAGTGCCTTGTAAATGGTGGTGTCCCTTTACTTTGGTGGAAAAAGCCATGTTTCAAATGGTTGCCAAATGTATCTTTTTAGGAGCCCTGTTCAGCAAACAAGACGAAACGGTTTTGCGCCTTCTCCTCCTGCAACAGGTCGTGGATTGCCAGGGCTTGCCGCGTGGCCTTCATCTCAGCCAGCGTTCCTGAGAACGCCCAAACGTCGGTTCTTGCGGGACAGCGGGTCACTGTTAAGAAGCGTCCAATGGTCGTAAATCTGCAGTCGGGACCCTCCGGTGGACATCCTGTAGGTGGGGATTTCTGTCCACCAACCAATGTCCGGCTCCCTAGTGAAGTTCATAGTGACCCAAGGAACGCTGACGGGGGCCCCAGAAGAATTCGGTCAAGTCGGGCTGGGCTCAAGTCGTGAACAACCGGAACCCTCTGGAACCGAATCTTCGGAACCCTCCCCAGAGCCTATCTGCCACATCCATAGCTTTCAGCTGTTGGGAGAAAAAAATAAGTCTCCCAAATGGACCCTGGCAAATGGAAAGGACAAGAACCTGCGGTCCATAGCCTCGTGGTATAATATTTTGACCCATCCCCAAATGGTGACCCTCTTTGGTGACCCTAGCTTCCCATGAAAATCGTTGGGATCATCCCTGACCTTCATCTACCTGAGTTGTTTTTTGAGCACGTGGCTATATGTTTGGATTGCCTCGGACTCGCGAGCGACCTCGGACCTCTCTCTCTCGGTCGAGAGGCGCAGGGCACGGCCCCGGACGGCTGCGGAGCCCTGGAGGCATTGGGAGACCTGGCGCACCACCAGGGGCTTCCTCGTGGGCTGGATGTTCGGACCTCGTCGCCACGAAAGGCTCGGCTCGGGCTGAAGTCGGTCCGGCGGAGGGGAAACCCCAAAAATGGATATCTGTGGTGTATGTTGGTTTGAACGTGAAACACGGCACAAGGGCAGAGTCCGAGACCCTCAAAAAGAAAGAGAGGCACGAGCCATCTCATCCCCCGCTGCCCCTGAAACGGGAGGCGCATGTCTCTCACCAAATCCGCTCACACGTCGCCGTCACGCTCACGCGTCGGCTGTGAGCCCGGGCTGAGCTTTCCCAGGGCGGACAGGGCAGCCAGCACCACCGGCTCCTCCCGCAGCAACATCTGCAGCAACGCCTCGCGCGCTGCTTCGCTGACGGGTGGAGCTCAGCTCATGGCCATCTCGTCGTTTGCCGGGTGTTCGCCGTGCAAACAAGATCCAACTGGCCTCTCCGCTTGGAACTTCCAAAATGCCCGGCCGGCTCGGCTTCCGCTTTGAACCGGCGCCCAAAACAGCTTCGCGTTTGTTGCGGGTACACTGTTCAGGTTGCTTTTTGAAGAGAAACCAAGGAGAAAAACCGAAATCGCCATTGGGAGAAGACCCAAGTTCCGCTTTTCCCACTCTCCCAACCCCCTGCCACCCCTTTTTCTCCCCTCCCTTCCCAAAAAAGAAGAAACAAACCAACACGAAACCGACACGTGCCCCGGTGCCCCGGTGTCACCTCTCCCCCGGCACCGCCGACCGCGCCTCCTCGTGGCGCTGCCCGGAGGCCCCGGAGGCCGCCAGCGCCTCCGCGGCTGCGGCGGCCACCAGGCCGTCCTTGTGCCTCCGAGTCGGACGTCGGACGGTCGGGGGGACGGGGGGTCGGGGGGGGGAAACCCAAAAAAGGCGCCCCTCCCCACCCCTCCCCCCAAACGGTGTTGTAGAACCCCCGAAAGAAAAAAAAGAAGCTCCAGTCAGAGAAGAAAGGATGCGTTTTCAGAGGGAAAACCGGGACTTTCTCTCAACCAAAACCAGCCGGCAAAAAAAAAAATCCAACCAGAAAGGGCAAGCGGCAAACTCCTTGTGCCTCCAATGAGAGACAAACGGAAACCACGGGAAAAAACATCCTCCAAAAAAGCCCCCCCCCCTTTTTTAGAACCCCCAACGGAAGTTAACTTGGGTACCCGAAGCCATGAAACCCCCGGAGCAACAAGGTTCCCTTAGTAAAGGTGGCTAATGGTTGCTACTGCTAGGAAAGTTAGCGGGATATGTTGTTCCGTTCCGAAGCCACAAGGAGTGTTTCATGGAAGATACCCGTTGTATGGTGGATAGTGACTGTATATCCCATGAGAAACACTTGAAAATGGCGGCCCACTACTAGTCAAACGGTTTGGGAGTGGCGAATCTGTGCATTCACCACTCTGAGGGGGGAAACCCACAAAAAGCACATCCAAACCACTTTCTAGACCTACCCCCAAACCGCTACCGGGCCCTTTTCGCATGGAACGGGGGGGGAGGATCCTGGTTTGGACCATTTTCCTGTTAAAGGGACAGGTTCCATGTTAATTGGTGGGAGGGTACCCTTTACAGTATATGGTGGCTAGCGGCTGTATATCCCACGAAATCCCCCTACCCGGCCCTACGCCACTAGCCGACTATTTTCAGGGGCTGTATATGCCCACTACCCCACTGGCCCAATATACGGCCACTACCCCACTACCCCCTATCTTCGGTTGAAATTCGCTTCGGCTTGGGGGTAGTGGAGGCCATCTGAGAGCCAATCCGAATCCCCGCGCTGAGTGCTCCCCGCGTCCGGACACACAGACGGGACAGAGCACACGGGGCAAACTGGGCGTCTCCGGCCCTTGGACTGGCCTCATTATTTTCCCTTTATCCAGGTCACCCCTAAAGTGATAGGTTGAAGGAGACAACCCCAGCTTCTGACTTTGATAACCCCAGAAAAAGTCAAAATAAGGACCCAAGCTGGACACATGGACCCTTTTGGGGTCCACCAACTTACCCCTCCCCCACTAACAGAAGGCATTTGTGGGGTACCTCAAAAAAAGTCTCCTCAAGGGACCCTCTGTCTGGTGCCATAACCCTTGGCGTTCGGTGAGGTCCACCAACTTCCCCCTCCCCCACTAACAGAAGGCATTTGTAGGGTACCTGGAAGTGAATTTCCTCAAGGGACGACAGGTTCACGAGAAACTCTTGGCCAACACATATAACCAGCACCAATCCACAAACCAACCCTCGCTTCGTTTTACTTCAGATCCCCGAAAAAGAAAAAAATGCCTCCCATGGCCTCAGCAGCCTGCCAATGCACTCCGACACCTGCCAGCAACATGGGGTTCTCAAGGGAAACCCAAAGGAGAACCGAAGCCTTCGTTTCTGTTGAGAACCGAAGCCTTCGTTTCTGTTAAGAACCGAAGCCTTCGTTTCTGTTGAGAACCGAAGCCTTTGTTTCTGTTGAGAACCGAAGCCTTCGTTTCTGTTGAGAACCGAAGCCTTTGTTGCTGTTGAGAAGCTGCCGGAAAAACAAAAAACTGCACCTATGTCCCAGGACTGGCAGTTGGGTGTCCTCTTCTTTTCCCCAAGATCAGCTTCCCGCTTGGTGGCTTGGATTGGCGGCTTGGTGGTTGAAGAACCCAAGGACCAGGGGTGCAAATCCAAATCCAAACCAACCCGAAGCACCAATTGAGGGGTTTTGTTGAGAATGCCCAGGCACCTCGCCCTTGTTGAGACCCAAGGCGCTTTTCACTCCAAAATCGGCCTGAAGGGACTCGATGGTGGCCTTGCCCGACGAGGTCAGGTGCCGGAGCACAGGCAGCACATCATCCTGGAGCAAAGAAACGACTTCTCCACGCCCGCCGTGGACAATTCGACCATTGGAATGGGAGTGACTCCGGCAGAAACGCAAATTCTTCATATGGGGCAAGGCCAAATGAAACTGGAGTCAAAGTCTGTCCGCTCACGCGCAGAAACGCTAGCTGCCTTCTTGCCGCTGTTCAGGGTGGTGGCAACTTTGTCCGGATCGACGCCTTGCCCGAGGCATAACACTTCAAGAAGCTTTTGATGCGTTCTTCCCAATTGACTGGATGTATACGGGTCTGTCCATTTTTAGTGGAAACCCCCACCTTCAAAAAGAAAGACAGACCTATACATCATATGCCTCTACGTGTGTCTGCGCCTTTGCGGAACACACGTCACACACCTTGCACTGTACGGCACCCGCCTCTGCCAAAGACGGGACGCGCGGCCTGGAGCCTCAAGTTCACCTCGGCGCACGTGCACCAAGCGCGCCATGCGGTGAGTGGTGGGCGGGCGCCCTGGGCAGAATCCTCACCCCGAAGCTACCCGTGGCTTTGATTTGGAAGGGACATTTCTTGGTGGACATCCGAATTCGAGGATACAAAGGTCCACTCCCTCAACTGGCTATGATGCCCTTGGTTTGGTTTGGTTGGTGGGTTTGGTTGGGGTATGACTGCTACCCCGCGCGGTTCTGCAAAAGGCGGATATGATTCCACCAAGGGGTCCATTTTCCAGAACCAAGGTCCCTGGCTGGCGATGATTTGAAAGGGGCACCCCCTTTCTTGGACCTCCGAATTCGCGGGGGAACAAAAAATGCATATTGTTTTTACACCAGGAGCACCGGGCCAACGGCAAGCTCTGGAGACCATGGCGCCATGCCCCGAGAGCTCGCCACTGGCCCGCGTCCAACTTGCGTCCAGGGCGCCGCATTGCCTTGAGACACCAGCTGCAGCGCCATGGCCTATCGCCGAGAGTACCATACGGCCCAGGCACCCCCTCTCACATCTTTATTACCGTGAACCTGTCATGAACATGAGAAGAACGACTGTCCTTCTGGTTTTGGAGCTCCCTGCCAAGTTGCATAGACAGCTAAATTGTGCTGCTGGAAACGTGGTTTTTGCATTATGGATATATGTATATATATAATGGCCCCCGCCTCCCCCACCGCAACCCCCCCCCATACCATGGGGGGGGGGGGGGGGGTGGGGGGGGGACCGTAATCACTGGTCTCGGGACCATATATACATAGTCACGGTGGAAGGGCCAAATCCACTTTGCAAATTTGCCCCAGCATTCATAGGGCTTTATCCATCTTGACTGGTGCCGATCAGCTTGCATTTGTAACCAACCACAGCATGATAGTGGGAGGAATGGTGGCACCCTAACAGTGGACATGGATGCATGACTGTGTGCCTGTATACTTTGTCGTATGTGTGTGAGTGAATATGTGTATGCCTGTCTATATATTATATATGTGTTTATATTATATGTGCACGTGGGTGTCTGTGTGAGAGGGAGCATTTGCAAGTACACGCGCGCATGTGCAAGCGCAGGTGCACGCGCGTATGCGTGTGCAAGTAATATGTGCATCTGCATCTGCAGCATCTGCATGTTGCTTTTGTGTGTGTATATATGTTCATCCTCATACAGGCTTATTGCGCATGTGTATACTAGTCCGCAATTGTGCATCTGCATGTGCATGTGCGCTGCATGGGGTTGTGTCCTTTTGCATGCGTGCGACAGAGTATGTATGAGTACGTGTGGCTGTACGCGAATGTGCTGACATTGCTTCACTGTGCCCTGCTTTGCCGCTATGCACTTCAAGGTGCAAACAGGCCTGGCCTGCATTTTTTTCAGTCATGCTCAACCGCAGTCGCGCGCAAGATTTCGCCGAAAGGGTTCCCAAGGCCAACCATATTGAAAGCTGAGGCGCATGGACTCGCGGACAAGGCAAATGCAAAGTCTAGACAGAAAGCCAACAGGCAGAAATTCTCCTACACCCCCCGGCCCAGCAAATGAACATGAATCGCCAAAAAACCGGATCGATTCTTAGAGGAATCTCCGTTTGGTGGGCACCCTTGATGCGTTCCGTGTTGACTTGCAAGGGACTACATTGCACCCTTTGCAGCCACATTTGGGACTATTGTTGTGTTTGTTTTCTTTTTTATGTCTTCCTTACGAGAAACCATGAGTGATCCAGCACTTAGAATTTCCGCTACACCCCCTGCAAATTCAGATGAGCCCAAAAAGCTCGTACTTATAGAGGAAACTCCTTTTGAGCGAGCCCCGCCTTGGAGCAGAGCACCCGCTTGTTTGCCCACCTAAAGACCCTTCTTCGGGGTTCCCCAGAAAAATTTCCTTGGAACCGGATTCGACCACATCGCGCTTCGGCTCCTTCGTGCCCCAGGACTTGCAGCTCCTCCCGTTGAATCGGCTCCAACAAATGGGTTCGAAACTGTCAATGCTACACGGATTTCGGGGCAAATCGAAACCCATCTTGCGGCGCCAACCAACCCATGCGCATTTGGGTCATTTGGGCGCGAGGCGCGAGTGGCTGGCTTCCTGTTCAGCAACCTGAAACGAAAATTCGCCCATCTTAAAGCTCAGGGAGGTTTATACCTGCCGATCTGACCCCGGCCCTGAAGACTAAAGTCGCCCCGAATCCTTCATGCGGGAACCAGCCCTGATCGCTTGACATGTTTGCTGGAGAAATGACAGTCATCTCCTGAGAGGGTTGGTCAAAGTCCAGAATATCTGTAGGCCACGCGAATGGTGGCCAAAACCTGAACAGTATTTTTTCAGTCCAGGAACTTAAGTGATTGTTTTGCATCTGGTTGGATTGTGTTTCCCCGGCAAGGAGGTGCCTTTTGCCTGTTTAAGAGTCACCCTGAAGGTGTTTCGGGCTGCTGGCCTTTGGAGAGAAGTCGATACTTGGCAATCGGAGCTGCGAGAAGAGCTCGGGTTTTGGCCACTCGAGTGGCCAGATATTGCTGGAAAACCTGGGGCAAAAGGGTTTCACTTTCGAGCGGCTCGCCGGCTTTCCCCGGGGCGCGAGCCGTGCATGCCAGGTCCGCTCAAAAGCTTAGGTGAAAGCTCCCAAATTGGAATGGGAGACTTCCAAATCGAACCCCATTGGCCCTGGGAAGCTCAGGAGCTTGCTGAAACTGCACACAGCTTCCCTTGCCCGAGTAGCCCTTCCTTCACCAGCAAAAGAAGTAACCAAAACATTGCCTGGAGCCTCAAGGAAAGTGACCTAAGATGGTGTCCACTACCCCCCAACCACTAACCCCGAGGGTTAAATGGGATATGCAGCCAATATATAGCCACTAAGTAAAGGGCATATACCCCTTATTTGGGTGTAGCGGACACCATCTTAGAGACATGACATCATCATCATTCGCCATTTCAATGCTATGCCATGTGATCCTTGTATGCATCTCTCGCCCTTTCGCATGGGTCATAGGGAAACCACCCGCAGGGTTTTGGCCAACCCTGAAGCCACTGAACCCTTCAAGGTGCATTTCTGTAACCACTCGGATCCTGGGCCGGTGCTGTTTTTCCCGACCACCCTTTCGTGGAAACTCAAATTGAAACATGGTTCCTTGCCAACTCTGACACGTGCCGCTGCTCAAAATCGACCAACCAGACACCGGAAGCTCGCCGCTCCTCGGGCACGATGGGTGCCGAAATGGCTGGAAATTCGAGCCGGGCCAGTGCGCGGCAGTGGCCGGCGAATTTCTGGCTGGGCAAAACTGGGGCTTCCCTGGAAGCTTCCTCACATGCCTCCATAGAACCAAAGCCTGTCCCAAACTTGGCACTTTGGAGTTGCCAAAAGCAATGCGCCTGAGTCCATAGATTTGAGACCGGCAATGTTGACCAACCCAAGCAGTGTCCCCTGCCCTTTGCAACAAGAAGGCTGCCCTCAAAACAGGAATCCGAACTTCGGCATGCCCGGAGCTTCATGATTTTGGCGCCCGTTACCAAACTGCTGAGCTCGAACAAATGCAGACTCGTGACGCAAAAATCAACTGCGACAAGTCCCCGGAGCCCTGAGCGGGACAAACTGCGGACCTTAAAAGGAACCTCATTCACCATAACAACCAAGCGTTGAGTTTTGAGCCGCTGAATCTCCCACTAAACCGGGGGGCGAGGGTTGGGAGGGGGGGTGCTTTCCCTTGAGTACTATGTGTATGTATATATATATATATATGTATATATAGATATGTATATATATATATATTATATATATATATATGTATATACATATATATATATATATATTATATATCACTGTTTAGTAGAATGATAATTCAAGGTATTCATGCTGAACAAGAATCGCATTCGGAGCCAGGAAGCCGCAGCAAAACAAGACACACCACGCGAATACTCGCCATGCCTTGATGAAAAGCAACAAAAAAAAACGGCGCAGAATACATCGAAGAGTCTCGTTGAGCAAAGGTCTAAAAGTGAAAGCGTTGGCGTTTCCCCAGGCCTCGCGCCCCATGCCTTAGCAAGTTTCGTGCTCGTGCAAAACAAAAGCTGACGCACTTCTTTTGTCAGCTTGCGCTGGAAGAGCACTTCTTCCGTTTCCTGAGTCAAAGAATGGACATGTCACAGGCCTTGCCAACTTGCCAATGCTCACGTCCCACTCTTCCCCAATTAGCCTCTGGCATCATCCTCACTTTCCACCAAGGCAGTGAAGAGATATCGGCTTGTTCACTTGCCCCCCTTGTGGGGCATCCCCGACCAGAATTCGAGCCAACCACTAAAATAAGCACTCAGCCACCTCCAACACCAAGACTGCCAATACATATCGCACACGTACTGCGGCATATCTCATTGGCGACTTCCAACAAAGCCTTATGCCTCCGCAATCTAGAGCCCCCTGGTGAGGTTTGGGTTTTTTGCGGGGGACCCCAAGGCTTCGCCCACGTCCCCTCTTTGCGGGAAGGCGGCTTCTCCTTCTTCTCTTTCTCCTGTCGCCAGCCGGGCCATGTGGCATTTGCCATTTCCAAATGTCTACGTGCCACGCGGGCAATGAGACTGGAGGCGTGGACTTATTGCGTTTGATTCCGCGGTTTGAGGGTTTAAGGTCCTTCTCCCTTTCTTTCTCCTTCACTTTCTCCTTTGCTTTCCCTCTCTCGCTGCCCTTCTCTGACTTCAGCTGCTTCAGCTTTTCGAGCTTTTGCCTCACCGAAAGTCTCCGGAAAGAGCCCAGAACCCTTCTGGGGCCAAACTGGTCAGCCCAGAACCCAATGACAACGAATGACCTTAAGCCACCTGGCATGCGCTTGGAAAATGGGACCCTTTGCCTCTGACTCAAAACCAGCTAGAAGACTCCTTTGGTTTGCGATGCAACTGTCACCCTCATCCCCAGCATCCTCATCAGCATGTGGATTTCCAGCAGGCTCAGCCCATGGCTCCCTGACCCTGTCAGCTTCCAGCAAGCCCAAACCTTCACTCCATCCCCCGGCCCACCAACACCACCACCTCGCAACCCCTCACCCGCCCTGGCTCCATGGTTGGCCAAGAATGGCCGAGGGCGGGTTCGGAATACAGGGTGTAGACTTGGTGTAAGGTTGGCTTGGGCTTAGTTTCTAGATCAGCCTTGGGTTGTTTCAGTTGTCCAAAAGGGGTTACAGGCTCTTTTTTTTCAGGTCAGCTGGTGGTTTAGAGAACCAGGTTAGAGGCTGAGTGAGTTGGTAGGCTGAGGACAGTCCTAAGCCTGTGGGAACCAACCGTGAACAATTCTAAGAATCCGAAAAACCGCATTGGAAGGACCCTTCCACCTCGGGGCAGGGTTGTGACCATTGAAGGGGGAGGGGAGGGTAAGCCATTGATCATATTTCTATATATATATATAGTTATTTATTTATTCCCACCCTCACTCAGTTCTGTGAACAAGCGAAGTGCCATAGAGCAGCAACGATGCCGAGCTGCTTCTGCTTCTCCAGCTTCTTCTTCAGCTTCTTCGCCTTCTTATCCGCGGGGTCGCCTCGGCAACGAGTCCTGAACGTGCCGCACGAAACGGTTGGGCTCACCGACGCAGAAACGGCGGTGGGTCAAAACCCGGGAAAAAATTCGGGTGAACATCGACCAATCCAACCACTAAAAATAAGAGTCTCTGAAACGGGCGGTGGATTCACCGAACCAAAATGGGATCCCCTCGGTTTTCACGGCCACATCTCCGGCCATTGAGGTCCAAGGTTTGGGCCGACCAAGAATCTGACAGCCCGAGCAGAACCCATGTCGCGAGCCTCACGGTTCTCTCTTGGGAAGCCCAAGCGACGCGTGGGCTCGCAAGGCCAGCGGTTCTGCCAGGGCACTCTCCTCTTCAGATGATTCCACCTGCATCCTCTTGAGGGCTGCCTCCTCCTCCTGATCCATACACATCACACGTGCGGCCATTGCATTCCATGCCCCATCTGGTATATCCAGTAATTTTGAGCTAGTCGACAACAAGTTATGATTCCTTTTTTAGGTTCTCAACTGAGGTGGGTCTTGGCAACACCTCTATATTGAAGCTGCATCTCAAGATCTTCCACAAGGGCTGCATGCAATCAATCGAACCATTGCAAAACGGAAATCTCTTCTTGGCCAGAGCAAACCCCCGGTGTGTTTTTTTGGCAGTCCACATCCAAGACGGGCCGGCAACCTCCTCTGCAGATCTTCTATTGCCATGATAATGTTTTGTTTGCCATTACCATGGCATCGTTCCCGCGTAATGGAAACCTTGGGGTGTCATTTGGCTGTGGGTCAAAAATATGTACCCAAAATGGAACCCTGGCAAATGGAAGGTTCAACTACAACCTGCGGTCCCCTGGGGCTTCAATTTTGACACACCCATTTTGTCAGGTCGTAACACCAGGTTGCAAACACAGCGCGCGAGCCTCCTGCTTCTTTGCCTCGATGTCCACGTCAAAGCCTACCTTTTGCGCGGAGATGACCGCGTTCGCCTCCTGAAGCGCTGAACCGGGGCTCCAAAAACGCCCGAAGCTGCTTATGCCAACTGGCTGTGGGTCAAAACCAATTGGGTCCCATTTTGGGGTAGGTGCACCACCCATTTTAGAACCTATTTTAGTGGGGATTGGGATGTTCACTGGGGGTACGGGATCTTGACCCATGGCCAACTGACAAACAGCACAACCACATGTTGCTCTCTCGGGCAACCCAGCACTCCAAGTGCTCGTCTTTGGCCATCTACCAAGCACTCTCAGCGCAAGCCAACCGCCGGGCCTGGATGTGCTTCAACTGCTGCTTTGGAAACACCTGGGAGCAAGAGACGTGCACTTCTCCGAGCCAGCTGGCGCCTCTCAACTGATCATCCTTTTGCGGCAACCTCCAAGGGCCTTCCTTTGCCCACCCCCTGACAAACAAGTGAACAAACAACCAAACAGCCAAACAAAAAAACAAACAACCAAACAGCAAAACAAACAAACAAAATCAACAAACAAACAAACAAACAAACCACATAAACAAACAAACCAACAAACCAAACAAACAAACAAACAAACAAACAAACAAACAAACAAACAAACAAACAAACAACCAAACAGCCAAACAAACAAACAATCAAAATAAACAAACAAACCAACAAACCACATAAACAAACAAACCAACAAACCAAACAAACAAACAAACAAACAAACAAACAAACAAACAAAACAAACAAACAAACAAACCAACAAACCAACAAACCACATAAACAACCACCAAACCAACAAACCAAGCAAACAAACAACCAAACAAACAAACAACCAAACAGCCAAGCAAACAAACAAACAAACAAAATCAACAAACAAACCAACAAACCACATAAACAAACAAACCAACAAACCAAGCAAAGAAACAACCAAACAAACAAACAACCAAACAGCCAAACAAACAACCAAACAAACAACCAAACCAACAAACCACATAAACAAACAAACCAACAAACCAAGCAAAGAAACAACCAAACAAACAAACCAACAAACAAAATAAACAAACAAACAAACAAACAAACAACCAAACCAACAAACCACATAAACAAACAAACCAACAAACCAAGCAAAGAAACAACCAAACAAACAAACAACCAAACAGCCAAACAAACAACCAAACAAACAACCAAACCAACAAACCACATAAACAAACAAACCAACAAACCAAGCAAAGAAACAACCAAACAAACAACCAAACAGCCAAACAAACAAACCAAATAAACAAACAAACCAACAAACCAAGCAAAGAAACAACCAAACCAACAAACCAAGCAAAGAAACAACCAAACAAACAAACCAAGTAAAGAAACAACCAAACAAACAAACCAAGTAAACCAAGGATGGTGAGCAAACGCCTTCCCATTCTCAGCCCGGCGGCCCAGCCGACGTCTTTGGGGACTCGCCCGCGGCCGTTGAACGGATCCAGGTCTCGTCCGTCCTTCTGGTGGACAAACCTGGCCAGGGCATTCTCCGATGTTCGGGCGGCGGCAAACCCGATTTCGTGTTGGATTCGGACCCCCGGAATCCAAAAAGCAAAACAAACAGGCGGTTCTTCATTTTAGCGACTTTTTGGTGTTCCGTTGAAGTCGCAAAAGGGGCAGCATCACGAAAAAGGCACACCCGACTCGGGTGTCAGTTTTGTGGTCTTTCAAGGGCGGTTGCTTTCCTCAGGGTGGTGGATGTCGAGGCGCAGGGTACCCAAAACTCGGGGCTACGTTTAGTTTTAACATAGGAAACCGAAATCCGAAATCATTTGGTGCCTCTTTGACACATGCCCAAGGCGCGTGAACCCTGTGCCATGTGTGCCCTCAACCACCGCTGACAAAACAGCAGACCCAAGAGAAAATGCGAATATTAACGGACTCTGTGGTGGACATCAGGGTTAGGGGATCCATTCACCAACAAGAACCTGCAGGCAGGTTCATTTGTCGGACTACGCGCACCAGAATGGCCTTCGCGGTGCCTGGGCAGCATGATGCGTCACCGCCAATTCGCAGAATTCGCGCCCATCTCTCCTTTTTTTCCAGGAGGGACCTCTGAAAAGCCGGGTTAGAGGAACCTCTGAAAAGCCCTTGCAGGGTGAATCCCTTTCGTCGACGCATTTCTTAAACGCATCTCCCCGAAGTGGATCCCCAGGTTACCTTTTGCGTCCCCCATTTTTCGGAGACGCATAGATTCCTAAATAAGCTCCAGGTTCCTTCCACAAGGTGCACGCATCAAACCAAAGACCTGCAATGGGACCATTTGTCAGGCCCGGTGCCTCATGTCGAGAGCATACTTGCCACTCTCTTCCTCAGATCGTCGATCAAATCAATACCCCCATCCAATCCACCTCCTTCCGCCTTTTTCTGAAACTGGGCAGGCAGGCAGGCAGGCAGGCAAGCAGGCAAGCAGCACTTTGCCGGGCGGCATCGACGTCACGGACCTTGACCCAGACCTGATCGCCTTCGCGAACCACGGAGTTGACCTGGCTCAGTCGATCTGCAAGCCTCGCTGCCCACACCAGCAGATCCCCATCTCTGAGGCGAGCGCCACCTCCACTCGCTCCACACCAGGAGGATTGGGCAGGCAACCGATGTGGAGGAAGCCGTCCTTGTATTTCTCGCCTCTACCTGGCAAAGATGTGTGTGTGTGTGTGTGTCAATCGGTTGAACCGAGAACCGGTCCATCGGAGCCGGCGAAGACGAAGGAAGAGACTGGAAGGACGGCCAATGGGCTGGAATCGTCGTGGTCTCCCTCAGACAAGTCTTATCTGTTCATCAAGGTTCGCTTTGGAAAGCTGCCACCTCTCTTTCATTCACAGCGATAAGGAGATCAAGGGCGCGCAATTTGCCCAAGATGAGGCGAATGGTCTCTACGCTTCTATCTCAAAGGAAACCTGCAGGAAAACCCACCACCACCATTGCGGGGGCTATGGCCATGGGTCAACATCCAAATCGTACCCCCAGTGAACATCCCACTAAAATGGGTGGTGAATTCACCTACCAGTACCAACCAAAATGGAAATTACCAAAACGGTTTTGACCACCACAGCCATATGAAACCAAGAACCCTCCCCGTGCCACGCCGAGGCGCTGATCTGTACAAAGGCGCCATACTCCTTGGTGCACACGATCAGGCCCTTGTGGATGGAGTTCTCACGGGGCATGGCGGTGCCTCCGATCGGCGGAGGCCTTGTCGATATGCACACCCCAAAAAAATATTGTCCACCGAAGGGTCCCCAGCAAAATATAAAAGTCACGATTCGACCACCCGTGTGGGCTTGCCGGTTGCCCCAAATGGTTTTTGTGTCACAATGATTCTGCCCCTCAATTGGATTTCGGTTCCCAAGCCCCTGAGGGTACCATGCCTCCCATCTTTGTTGCTTTCGCCCGCCTGTGGTGCGCTTCCGCGCCAGGCCCGTGGTCTTCTGGAACTGCTCCACGGTGCCGAAGTCCCGGTATGACCCGGCCTACACGCGCCGCGAGGCCGCGCGCCGAAAGCGCCGCGGCGCTTCCGAAGGGGTGAAGCACGCCAACACCCATCGATCAAATCTCCGAAGGCCGGACAGCTGTTCGAGATGTTGTCTTAAAGTGTTTTAATCGCTACACTTCCGCATCTGTTCGATGGGTCTCGAGCTGCAATTGGAGAGGGGTCGCCGTGCCTTCTGCTGGAAGCCAGTCTCCGGCTTGGAGATCCGGAATTGCCCGGCCACGAAGCCATTCATGACGGGCGAGGGAAAGCGGGGAAGCCAGTGTCAGGCACGGCTTGCAGCGCTTGGGGCAACTTTGCAAATGTGTCCCCAAATTTCGCGCAAAACGCTTGAGGCCTTGGTGGTTGCACTGGATCTTGCACTCGCGGGAGATGAAGCTCATCATAGACATGCAGCTGCATCCTCTTGCAAAGCTGTGATAAGAGCTTTGCAAGTTTATGTTTTGTTTTGTGCGTGTATTTGTTTATTCCTCCTGAGCCAAATGAGGAGGCTGCTGGTCTCAAGTTCTCAAACAAGGAAGCTTCATGCCAGCCGCAGTGGAGCAGGAGCCAAGCCGACTCAGCTTCCCAGCCACACCAAACGCACAAGTGCCAAAGAAAGCAGCGGCGCGCGGCGAGCGAGAAAAACACAATAATAAGAATAATAATAATAATAATCATAATAATAATAATCATAATAATAAAGAAAGAGTTCAAAAAAAAACAAGAAGCTCCCAGCACTTTTGTTTCCAGGCCTGACACATCGGTGCCCGCCAGAAGCGCCCGGCGCGCCTGTTCCGCGACCGCCGGGGCCGCGGGCACGGCCCTTTCCCAACAAATACATCGGGTGTGGTTTCCTTCGTACCCTTTTGGTTTTCTCAACACCGGCAGGGCTTCAGCACGTCTTTGGGAAGCCGGGCGCCTCAAAGGAAGCCGCGCCCCCGCCGCCGGTCCCGGATGAGAGGCAAGAGCACCGGGGCCATCAAGGCCTTGCAACGTGGCAAAGGCCGACCTGGACAGGCTGTGTCAGCCCATGAGTCAAAACCTCGCAAAAACCTCGCACAAGCAGCGAATCGTGTTTGTTAAGGCATGTTGCACTGCTCCTAGCTTGAACCCAAACATGAACCCCCAAAAGAACAAAGCAAGTCCGAAGCGGCCGCAGTTCTTTTTACCGGGATTGCTGAAAGTAGCACTGCTTCCAGGGCACTGGCGCGCCTGGAACAGGAGGTGCGTTGACCCCCCGTGAAACTAAAACGGGCAAGACAATGCGTGTCCTTGCAAGTGAATGCAGTGCTTGCAGGGCGTGGCATGCCTGCCCGCGCCCAAGGTCCGGAGACTGAATGGTCCGGAGACCAGAGTTGGTCCGGAGACCTGGTCCGGAGACCAAGAGGTCCGGAGACCACCAACGAAAGTGCAGAGCGTCTGCGACCTATACTTGCAGAGCCTTGCATAAGGCAGTGCAGGGTGGGTGGGTGGGTTTCAAATGAAACCGCAGGTTTGGGTCAAGGCTAGGAGCAAAACGGCCACCGCGTAGTTCGAGTCACAACATGCCCTAAACACAAGGGAAAAGAAACCCTAAGCGTTAAGGCATGTTGCACTGCTCCTAGCTTGAACCCAAACATGAACCCCCAAAAGAACAAAGCAAGTCCGAAGCGGCCGCAGTTCTTTTTACCGGGATTGCTGAAAGTAGCACTGCTTCCAGGGCACTGGTGCGCCTGGAACAGGATGTGCGTTGACCCCCCCTTCAGTGTTTCAGGCAACCCCGGTATAAGCGAGCCAGCTGGGCCGCCGGCCTCATCACCCGCCCTTCAGAGTGGGGTTGTACCTGGCAGGGCAAAACCATGATGAGTTGCTTGCTGAAGTAGATTGGCTGTGGCTGGACACTGACTCCATGAAGAAAGAATTAGATTTCTGGACCAAAAGCACTACCATGGGTGCACGGGACTGGTGTGACCGTGTCCGCCAGGCTGAGCCGAGTGAAGCAGCTGAAAAGAACGCGCGGCTTGAAGAGGCCCTGCGTGATTTAAACAGCAAGTTGGACCAGCTTGCGCTTATGACAAACTGCGCTCGCGCAGTTTGTTTTGAGGTGAAAGCAGCCAGCGCCAGTGCCTGAGGCAAACCTGGCAGCTGCCATATGACGGGGTCTCACTGGACAGCGCGGAAAAAAAAGAGAGCACTGCACGGCCTTTTGCTTCTTGCTTATCGGCTGCTAAGGTGGCCAACGATTGTAACCAGTAGGCTGCCAAGTTCCTCACCCGCGCCGGAGACTCCTCAAGACGCACTGCCGGCAAATCCAGAGGCCGCCTCAACCGAGGTACCAAAGCCTCGTCCTTCTTCAGTTCCGCATTGGCCCAACGCCCCGGACTTGCCAGACGATGCCCTGCCGACCAAGCAAGAGGCGGCTCCCAAGGTGGCGCCCAAGCCAAGGCCATTGCCTTCAGAGCCACAGAGGCCTCCGCCAGGGCCCCAGCCCAAGGCAGCCCCTGACTGGCCCCGGTTGCATGAGCCCAAGCCTGAGCTGCAGTACTTGGGCCTTGCACCGGACACGCTTTGTACGCGTGGGACGGCAGCTGGTGGATGAACTACTACGATTTGCCCTTCAGGAGCCCCCCCACGTCTGCCACGCGCATTCACAAAGACCATCACGCCTTCAGCATTGACTCCTGCTGGAAACGCAATGAACGGCAGACCGCGCAGCCCTGGCCAAAGGCCTTGCAGCCGCAGGAAAACACACGCGCTATCGCCCAGCTGGAGCAGTGTGCGCAACTTCCTGCCATGCGGCTGCCCTGCACTATGAAGGCTGCGCGAGTGGGAGGGGTCGCCAAAGCGTGGTACCTGGATGACCAAGAGCGTGGTACCTGGATGACCAAGTCCGAAGAAGAACCGCCAGACGAGCACGCATGCTCACCAGATCCCTCGCCTTGCCCGCTGGCGCCAGCCCTTGCAGTCGATTCAATTGGCATTCGTCTTGTGCCCTGGGGATCCGTACATGCCGTGCTGTGCACTCACGGCAACTCGGTACAGACGGCTTGCGGTTTGTATTTAAAGCAGCGCTCGTACCCTGTGCATCAGATTCATCCAGATATGCAGCTCTGCAACCGCAAGGCGTGCATGGCCGTGCTGTGCTAAAATAAGCTACACATGCCTTACCTTGACACCCGCAGCTCAGCCAAACCTCAGGTATGCACTGGGAGAAGTCAGCAACTCAGCAGTGCTCATGCGCCAGTCCAGTACCTGCCATCCGCACTGACTGTACACATTCCGCAGCTATCTTTTTCCTATCAAACCAGCCTTCCAAACATGCCTTACTGAAGCACATGGATCGCGATCGGCTCCAAGATGTCCTGACAGAAGCCCGGGTCCCTGAAGGCCTGCAGGACCTCGTTTTGGCCAGAGGTTTTGACTGTCCATCTGACTTCGCCTTTGCCTTCCCCACCATTGCAGAATTGCAGCCTTTCATAGTCTCTGCCAGGGACTTCTGGACAGCCAACAACATTGAGGATCCAGAATCCAGTGCGGCAGCAGCGCGCCTTGGGAAAGCCCTAGCCGAGTGCCATAAGCCTGCGCTCAGAGCCTCCCGAACCGGCCGCCAATTCCAGGTCGCCATGCATTCAGCCGCAATGCCCTGCTGCCAAGCAGCGCACCTGTCAAACCTCAAGGCCGACCTGTGTCTCACACAGCCAGATCCTAACCTGGGCCTTTGTACGGTGAACACCCAAGAGCTTTTGTCGGCTGATCGCAAGCTTGGCTGCCCGTATCCGACCTTCTAGGGCAGCAATGGTCCCTGGATGATGCCTTGTACAAGCTGACGCACATGAGAAACGATGCGCGCAGCCTCTTACAGCTGCGCCCGAAAATATCCAAGCCATCCGTGCCAGCACCGCCACGCCCCGCAACACCACGGCAGAGGGGATCCAAGCGCGACCTGAAGCCAGCCCGCGTGCCTTCACGCCCCACCAAGAAAGGCAAGGGGACATCCAAAGGAGCCACGCCATCGCCAAAGCCCAAAGCAGAGTGGCGCACTACAGGTCTGCCGGCGCTACCAGACGGGCATTTGCACTAACGACCAGTGCCATTTCGCCCACGTGTGCGCCATAGTGGGCTGCCAGCAAAAGCACCCCGCCATGGACCACAACAAACACACGTGAAATAGCCCGGATCTTGGACCGGCGCAGGATCGGCCGGCCTTGCCCCGCAGCGGGCCTCATGCGCCGTTTTCACCATTGCATATGCCGGTGGAAGCTGCCCTGACTCCAGCCTTGCCCTATGCGCGCCGTAACGAGCCAGGCGCGTCGCCAAGGCCACACACGCCCGCCCAGTCAAAGAGGCTCTTTTTTTGGACGTGTTTGCAGGTAGGCTGCGCCCGGTGACATTGGCAGCCATTAGCCTTGGCCTTGACTGCTTTGAGCCCTTTGATCTGGATGGAGACACTGCGCACGACATCCTGGATAACGTAGTCTTCGAGGCCCTTCTCAGACTCTGCTGGTCAGGAATCGTGGCCCTGATAATGCTTGCCCCACCTTGCAAGGAATATTCCAGACTACGCGATCACCAATGTGCCCTGGTGTGGGTAGACGCCTGCAGGCACAATAAAGCCTTCTCCAAATCGTGGGCGTTCGGCTGCAACAGTTCGAAAACACAGGGTCTGGAGGCCCGTTGCAATCACTCATACAAGCACCGAAGCATTGCAGGCGTGAAAGAACAAGGGGTATACCTCAGCACTCTGACCGCTGAATACCCTCCTTCCCTGGCCCTGTGCCCAGGTACGACAAACACTGCCATTGCACTCCGAAATCTCCAGGACCATCACACTGGCGCCTTGCAGGCTCCCGACCTGCACTCTTCCGCAGACTGGTGCTGTCCCAAGCCAGAACACCCACTGCAAGCAGTCGCCAGGCCCTGCATTGGATGCATGAGCGCAAATTGGTGCCACGAATAGCAGACCCCTCTCACCGTCCGAAAGCCTGAAAGTCGCAAACGGCTCTAAAATTGCCCTGCCCT